TTTCTGAATAAGTATGCATGCTTCGGTGGCACAGCTCACAGGCCAGCTTGACGCCTGAGCTGGTTTGGTTTTAGATGAACCAAGAAAGGCCAGACTTCACCCCAAGTCCAAGGCATGATGAGTTCAACATCACATTTCTTAAACTGTGTTCCACGGGTCCCTAGAGAGGTCCTGGGGGCAAGGGAAGTGCAGCTCTCCCAAGGCCGCACATTGAGATGGCTATGCAGCTTGCCAGGATGTGCCATACTGTGCACAAACTCCCCTGGTGACTCTCAGGTCCACTCAGGATGCCAACTCTTGAGCTCAGTGGAGAAATCCAAGCACAAATGGGTTAAGTAGTTCAGCAGTTTTTTCTCCCTCAAACAACTTGGGGCAGAGTTAAAATGAGATAATGCGTCCAAATGGTTTCAGAAAAGATGTCATTCAAGCAAGGGTGGATGTGCTAAAAAACTGAAGGTTAGTTAAAATGTGCGTTTAGACAGAAAAATGAACTTTATTTTTTAAAAAATCAAATAACATCTAAATAAAGATCATAAAATATCAAGGTACATTTCAAATATCACAGTACAGCTTCTTTTTCTGGTTTTCTTACATTTTTGTACATAGTACATCAGTCAAAAATTGTAGATTAATATTTTAAATGCTGAGAAGCCAGCAGCTTGTTCCAGTCTCTGACTCAGTTAATCTCTTACAATATTTTGACTGTTTCAAGAAAATTAATAATGGGATGTTAGGCAGTAGATTAACTGAAACTAAATATCAACATCGCTAAATTTATTTTTGGATGACTGAGCTCATTCCTCCAAAGAACAGAAGCAGGATTCATTATATCATGAGTTATTAACTTAACAACACCAGCACAGCCCCCAGTGGAGCAGAGAGAGCCACATGCATTTAGATTATGTAAGAGGCGAAAGTTTAGGTTATCACAGAAGCTGGGATTGGAAGGGTACTGGCTACAACTGATCACCTAAGGCTCAAAAGATACCAGAAGAAGTTAAGGCAATAACTGCCCTGTTGGTTTCAAGATCAGACTGTTATAAATGTCTTACTCCTGCTCTCCTGAGCAGCTAGAGAGCAGGGCTCCACTGCAGCCCATACTAAGAAGCTTTTATTTCGGCCATTCATGTCTTTATTCAGCAAGTACTTACTGGGTACCTATCTGTCCTCCCATCTCTCCTCTTACCCCATCTCATTTCCTCTGCATGTACTACCAGTGGGATGACTATGAGGAAAATTCGAGCATGTGCTTCTTGGACTGTTCCTGTTTCTGATGGGCCTGAAACTCTGATGCTTCTAGGCCAACAATGAAGAGCTGGTTTGGTTTTAGATGAAACAAACTGATCTCAGCTGCCTAAAATAGAAGCCTCAAAAAGTGTCATTTCCCTTGTTCTCCCCACTTCTTCTACATTCATTAGTAGACAGCCTTGGGCTCCCAAACTGCAGATAGTCAGGCACTCAGGGGCTCCGTGGCTGCATGGCAACAACTGCTCGTGAGGGAGGACACAGCACCCTTCCTTTTATTGGTGATCCGCCTGGAGTGCAATGACTGTGCACTTCTTCCATGCAGACACCCAAGCAACCCAAGAGCCCCTGTACTCGCTCACCAGGAGACTTGACACTGCAGGGCAATCAGTGGAAGGTGCTACTGAGGAAMCTAGGCCATTATTAGCAACCACTTATGGACCTCTGTGTACACCCGTGTGGGACAACACCCTTATTGCTTCACAACTCAGGTGACTCCTGGGAAAAAGCCATCCCACCAGCCACGTAAGGCTTGCACTGGCACCGTGGCCTAGACCAAAGCTTAAAATGTTATCCTGGTGTGTGCATGAGAATGCTCACATTGACCTTATTTAAAATGCAAAACTGGGAAGAACCCCAACATGTCCTGACTAGAGAAAGAATGAAGTGTGGGTGACACAGAATGGACTGCAAGGGAACAACGAACACACAACCAGCCACAGGGTGGGTACATCTCAGAAACATCAGGCATAGCAGGAAACTATTTTTTAATGAAGCTTAAACTCAAGGACCCTTAGGGTATGTACGCAGGTAGCAAACCACATTTAGAATAGGAGAAGGAGAGTTCTTAGGAGGGAGGAGACCTCGGGCAGTAGAAAGGCAGATATCAGGGAGGAGCACACACTGCCACTCTTCTGCTTCTCAAATCAAGTGGTGGGCTCATGGGTTTATTGGTGCTTTATAATTTACACAAACATTATATATACTCCTTTGTATCTAACAATTTGCACAGAAATTTTTTTAAGAACAAATGACTTGCCTGGCACCATTCAAATTTTTCATGGCTCCAGCATGAGCTACACTCAGAAACAGGAGGACAGCATCCTGGAGGCCGGGCTGGGCAGGGTCCCAGCTGGGAGCAATAAGAGAGGATTGCCTCTGCTTTCCACCTGTCAGATAAACAGGTGGAGCCTCCCACCTGGGGTGGGGGGCACCGGGAGCACCACATGAGTCCAAGCCAGCCACTATGATGCTGCTTCCACGGGCTCCCCTCTTCCTATGGGGAATTAATCACTTCCCTTCCTCTCCTGTGCACTTCAGTGGGCAGCCAAGGCTGGATCCCCTGCCCCCAACAAAAGCGGACCAGCAACTTCAGGCTCCTCCCAGGCTGTATGGCAGGGGGGGAAGGCCCTAATGACAAATCATTTGGGTCCCAGGGCCCCAAGAGGACACTGTTCTGTTCCGTATCTGTGCCTATCCTGGTTTTGAGCCTCCTGGCAAGTGACCTGAATCTTTGAGGCTGTGAGCATCATGAAAGAGCAACACCCAAGCGAAAGCCAACCCCTTCGCTGCTGAAGTGAATCAGAAGAGGTTTCTGTGGGGCGCGTCCAAGGAAGCCTGCTGTAGGAGGAGAAGCACTGGCATGGTTCAGCTCTGGCCAGGAAGGAGAGAGGAGGTACAGGCAGAGGCTGCTCAAGAAGGGCCTTCCTGCTTCAAGGGCCTCCTGACTGGCCTTTTCCACCAGGCTCACCACTGCTCAAGCCTTCTCCTCTGGAAAACACTTTCAACTCCTGCTTGTGGCTCCCGAGGTGGTGTCCTTCTGACTACACTATAGGTCCCTGACCTCTACCACTGAAGTCCAGGAAACAGGTTACTAGAAGAGGTGGTGGTGGGGGGTGGGGGTAGCTGTCCGTCCTGATGTCCCTCCCAGCTGAGACTTTCCTTCCCCGTCCCTCACAGAAGATGGTGTGGCAGAGGCAAATGGCCTAGGGAGCTGCAAGCCACTGAAACACCTTCCTCTAAAAGTAGAAGCCAAATAAAGCAATTATGTTCAAAGTATGATTCCCTGCCTGGATGTTGATTCTCAATCTAATCACCACCTCTGTCCCTACAAATAAGCACCACCGGCTATGAATTCCTGTGTCACTGAAGACAGGTAACAACTAGCTGGCTAAACGTACACAGATCTGAATGAGCTGTTGCAGGGGTAAAAATGGTTTATGTGATGGGGATTCTTCCTCTGAAGAGCGCCCCACACTCTCATCAGTCTATCAGAACAGCAGCTCCCCGGGAGCAGAGGAGGCTGACAGGTCACGGTGAGACAGAGCTGCCTTCTCAGGTGGAAGTAACTGCAGCGTCTTGGGCCTGTGTGCCTGTGATCCTGCTTACCCATTCCCTCCAATGCCAAGTTCCTGCCTTCATCACGAAATGGAAGCCCAATGACCCAGAAATAATTTGAACAAACCTATTTCACTGAGGACGCTCTCATTTTTATCTTCATTAACTCTTTGGTTCCTGTCAAATATGTTGAAAGCAGGATTTATGTTTTATCTGCAAGCTCTAGAGGATCCTAACATGTAGACAATTTGTGCACTTAATGGAGGCAGAAAATATTGCATGTTGTGTAGACAGATACCTTTTATATAAAGAAAACTGCTTTCTTTTTCTATCAAAAGAACACTGTATTATCTCATTCCCTTTATATTTTAGCAGAAAGAATTTTATAGAAAAGTAGCACGTTATCCAGATGAACTTCACTAATGTTTTTCTCACCAATGAAACACTGCACGCTTAACAAGCCCACATCCTTTCCATCCTTAGGAGAAAAACACGAAATAAGCACATTAAGGCACACACAATAAGCCTGTTCTTCTAAGATGAATGGCTTGATGAATAGCAGGGCATCTGGGTGACTGGCTATTTGTAAGATTTCACTCAAGTAAAATGCGAAAATGGGGAGTGCACCCTGGGCCCCAAGGCAGCAGCCAGTGACCAGACACGGAGCCTCAGCTCTCAACTGGCAAATCCTGCCACCCACGAAAGGTGGTGGTTCCTGAAAACCATGCGCAGGGAAGGGCCTCTCAGCACCTGCTGCTGTATGGAATGGCAGGAACCCTTGTTGCTGAGGCTCAGGCATCTCTGGCTAGCCGTATGATTTTGTGTTTCCAGCCCACTGTATTTCTGAAACACAAGGTCTCTGGTGAATTTATGAAAATTCAAACATCGGGGGCGAGATTATGAAGCCAACCTGCTTGGAGCAAACCCAAGTCAGAAAGAACAAAACCAGAAGCCACTGGTGACAAGGGTGCAGATGCCTTCTTCAAACACAGAAGAATTTCATCAATGAGTCCCATGAAAGCTGGTTCTGTTTTAAAGAGTGTTTTCTTGGATTGTAGGATCCAATAGCTAAACAGTATTCCTATCTCATGCAACTCTTGGGAACAAAGAAAACGTAGTCACCACAGCACTGTCAGGGACAGGTCTGCAAATGAATTGACTGGAGGGCTCACTGTGTCTTTCCACTTGGGTTAACTCTTGCATGGGCCTGCAAATTCTGTTCAAAAGCAAGGTTTCAACATGTAGAATGGTTAGCCTATAGAATGAAATTAAAAAACAAAACAAAACAAAACATGCTGTTTACCATCAAACTGGGATCTAATCTCCAGTCTATAGATCCTACCACACAGGATCAGAGAGTTAATTTTGAAGGCAATTTTTCTTCCACATGTCTCCACAAATAGTCAAGCAGCTCTTACCAGGAGCATAGCTGATGTCCCATTGGGCCTGGATAAGTGGATGGACATCTCAGGGAACATCCTGTCAATGCGGCTGATCACGTCGTCCACATATCTAGGTGAGAATCAGAAACACATGCATGTGAACTAGAACCCTGGCAAAGGACTATAAGCCCACAGTGGACTAAGACTTGGCTTTTAATTTAACAAACAACAACAAAATGTTTTGAATGCTCATTCTGAACTATTCATCTTATGCCATGGTCTATTAGCTTTCTTCAACAGGGGTGGGAGTTTAGCTGTGCCACCTTCCAGGCCACTGGGCTCTAGGAGGCAGCCTCCACCGTCTGTCCTTCCAGTCCAGCTGGCCACAGCTTCCTGCTATTGCCCATCTCTGGGCTGYCCACCACCACCCAGATAGCCAAATTCCTTGAGTTAAATTCCTCTGTTTTAAATACCCAAAGTCATTCCTGTTTCCTCAGTTATGTTCTAATTAAAATTATAGCATATCACAAGTTTTGCTTAAATCAGTACTCTGTGTTACATTCCAAAATTTCTGCTTATAATTTTGAAAAAAGCTGAGCCACACAGTGGCTTATGAGTACATTTATTTACTTGTACAGACTTCTGTTTTACTAGATCTATGTTTTGTCTTGGTTTGATTAGTTTTTCATTTGCCTATTATGATTTTATTCCTAAACTCTTTTTTAGAAAAACATTTATTTTTTAGCTTTAGGTGGACACAATATCTTTATTTTCACGTGGTGCTGAGGTTTGAACCTTGTGCCTGATACATGCTAGGTGAGCACACTATCTCTGAGCCACAACCCCAGCGCCCCCAAACTCTTTTTCTAAAAAAATATTTTGTCTAGTTGCCAATGGATATTCATTTATTTATTTGTGGTGCTGAGGTGTTGAGGATCAAACTCAGGACCTCACACATGCCAGGCAAGCGCTCTCCACTGAGCCACAACTCCTGTCCCCTTCTTTGACCCTAAAACCTCCCTCACTTCAACCAAATATACCAGACAAGCATCAGTTCAATTTTTATTCCACTAACAGGGAGTCCTGTTCTTCTGGTCCAAGCAAAACCTGTATCTGGAGAGGATTAATAATCACTGAGACCACAACATTAAGCACCTGGCAGGGCATCTAGTACATATTAAGTCCTCAAAGATTTTGAATGCCTTGCTGGCAGTTCTGCTACACCATGGGCCTAGTCTGCAAACGTGCTCTCTTGGTGGGATGAGTTCTGTGCTCTGGAGGCTCACTGTGGGGATGCCACCCACAGCATAAACAGAGCCAGTCTGGCTCAGTCCCTGGAGAACAAAATCATACGAGTATTTGTGCTCACCAGGCAATCACACTGGGCACAAGGGCATGTACAATATAATAGCTGAGATGCAAAACCATCTATTAAGGCTTTGGCATTGGATTTCCTATCCGTTAGTTATGACAAATTAAACCACGTGTCCATTAAATCAGGGACATGTAAAAGGCATACTCTGAGGGAAGGAGGAATAAGCCCTGCGCTGACAACATGAGAGGACTGCAGTTAGAGCTGGGCTCCTGGGAGAGGGCAGGTGGCATGATGTCCTTTGTTGAAAAGTGAACCCCAGCATACCCAGGACAGAGGGTAGAAAGGGATCCTGCCAGTGCAGCTGGCGGGCTTCCTTACTGCACAGGACAGCTGGAGAAGGAGGGGAGCCAACCAGGACAGCGAGCAGATGGGAGCCGAGGGGCAGGCATGAGAGGCAGTGGAGGTGCGAGGGCACAGGCTCTGGAGCGAAGGAGAAGGAGACTACACAGTTCTCCTCAAGGGCACAACGGCTTCTGTGATCAGGAGCAACGGCTCTCTCCCCGCTCTCGAAGGGCCCACAACGTGAGAACGAGGCATGGAGAGGCGAGTGTTTCCTAAAGGTGAGGCCTCACTCCCGGGTGGCTAAGAAACTGACTGACCAGGACCCCACCTGCTGTCTCTGGAGTCCCCACCTAGACTCACAGCCCGTGGCATACAGCCTTGGGCACAAGCTTAGAAGCCATCAAAAAATGTGAACAGAGGAAGAAAGGAGGCAATCAACTCCTTTTCACCACTGCCCAACATCTGCTCCAAGGACAGAAGACACATGACAAAAACTCCATGCCAAGAGTTTACACCAGGTCACGGGAAACATTCTCACAGTTCTGTACTCCTTTTCTAAATCTGTGGGTGGTTTAAACCCAGTTTCTTCAGACTCAGCAGGAAGCAGAAGTCCACTGTCCTGTGTGAATGGAGGTCACTGCTAAGTCTATGCTAATGGGGAAAGGGGGAGGCAGGCATACTGAACTGACCCTCAATCGATAGCCATCATAGCTCTGGACAGTGGAAAGCAAATGAATATGCAGAAGTTCAGCACAAAGGCAACATCATAATTTGCTTTCTCCTGTGCCTTTCACCTTGAAGGCTTCGGAATACACGCTGGAAACCACCATCTCTTTAGGAAAATGGGAACCGGTAGGTTATGTGACCACAAGAACCTAGAAGGAAAGCCCAGTGTGTAGGTTTCCAGAATTCTACACCAACTCCCTGACTCTGCTTRCCTTTTCAGCAAGGGCCAGGGTTCTCAAATGCTCCCTGCCATTMCTGGATTCCTTTACTTGGAAGATCTTATCTATGAGAGAAGGCAGAGGCAGGAGAAAACCAGTTCCTAGGAAAAGTATCTGCGGTGGGCACCRGGAAAGCAGAGAGGTCTCGGTTGGTTCTTCCTCCAACTGGTGACTTAGATAATGCCCAGCAAACTCGATTCAAAGATTGCATTAGGCAAGAGTGAATTTTAAGGAGACTGCTTTTCATTCACATGCCTGACATAAAGGAGATGTAAATTTCTTTGTTATAGGTGACATTCTGTGTTGGCTAAAAAGAGGAGGAGAGAAAGTCAGCTGCACCTTTAGCTGAGGAAAACAATGTCGAAATTTTAGAAGCAAAAATCAAAACACTTCATTTTAAAATAGACACAGACTCTGAAACACAAATCCACCACTAGTGACTTGTCAGAAATACGGAAAGCTTGGAAAGTCAAATTCAAAGTCTGGAGACAAAAATGGCACCTTCTTCTTGCTGGGGGTGCAGGCTGACCAGGGAGGTGGCCTTGGCAGCACTTCCCAGAACTGCCCCCCGGGGCGGTGCGCGTCTGCACAGAGCCCGCAGCACGCAGCGCCCGCTGCGAGAGCAGGGCTGAGGACAGGTAGGAACARCGTGCTCCCCTCCCACACTGCCACCATATGTCACACTCCGTTCCGTGGCAGAATCAAATTACTTTAATTTTTACCTTTGGAATATAGGCAAACAAGCAGTAACACAGCAGTGGTGACTAGTTTACACTTGAGCAGACGCGGCGCGGAAAGACATTAATTTAGTGCCAAATTGAGCAGTGAGTCACAATTTGCACATATCTGTCAACCTGTTAACAGGGTAATAACTTGGAAAGATTGCTGTTCCTATTTACATTACAGGAGCCTTTCGAAAATGGAGAGCTGCTTGGTTCTCCTTCTTGAAGCACTCAGCTCATAAGCTGGTTTGACAGTCCAAGAACCAGGATAGAAACACAAACTTCTAGAAATCACAGGTTTGGATCAAGGTGTGATTCATAACTTCAGTATTTTCAGTCAAAAAATTAAGTCTAAAGCAACCAGAGTCCTGTTTCCCTGCCCTGCTCTCTAAGTAYGGTCAAAAGGTTTCTAACTCAATCTTTGCCAGGACAGACAGACCTRCTCTACTGAAGTTTCCAATGGTTTCCTGGGACTGAGCTTCAGTCTCTGCTGTATCAGAAACAACCACACCATTCTCAGACCCTAATGTTGATTTCTGTACCCCTGTAAGTCTTGTTCTCGTCTGATTTTCTTCAAGAAGCTCAGCTTGTTCCAGAAAGGGCCTTAATCAGAGAATTAAAGAACAGGACCTAGAGGTCCCTTTGCCCAAAGTCCACTCCGATCTAGGCCTTCAGCAGTGCCTCCAAGAGGTGGTCTGTGTAGGTGCACCATAACACCACCCCTAAGGCCTCGTCCTGCTGGATGGCCAGGTTATTTGGAAGCCACTCGCCACTGTCGTCTCCCAGTTCTCTCATTTCTACTTGCAGGGAATACACTTAAATATTTCCTGAGGGGGGGGGAGTATGTTTGGCAAATACACAAAAGACTCTTGGGTTTTCCAATTTCTTTCATCAGTGGCTTTATTTATTTATTAGATTGATTTATTTTTTTTAATACGACAGCAGAATGCATTACAATTCTTACTACACATATAGAGCACAATTTTTCATAGCTTTGTATATGATATGAAACCTCCTTGGGTCCCAAATCCCATGGAGAAGGTACTGAAAACGAACATGCATCTGCAGGAAGTCTGTACTCCAACTCCCTGCCACTCACAGATCCCAGTGTCCATGTGTGGATCTCATGTTAAGTGCCCTTGCCCAATCTTTCCAGAACCCAGGTCTCTGGTGTTTTCTTCTTGTTGCTTTCTGAATGGTTTTTGTTTTATTTTGTCCCCTGCTACCTCCCCTAGTGAGGATATTTTCATGCTAGCAGGGTGGGGGTGGGGGTGCAGGTGCCTGTGCACGCATGCATCCATCTATCCATCTATCTATCTCTCCATCCATCCACTCACCTATCTATCTATCCATCCATCCATCCACCCACCCATCCATCTGTTTATCTTGCTTGCAGCCTAGAAGTGACCACAACTGAACTGGGACAGGGTATAGTAAATCTAACAGTCCTGGTAATCTTAAAATCATGTTTCCATGATGGAGCCCTTAGGTTAGTTTTATTTATCTTGAATTAGCAAATAAAACTTATATATATTTATCCTATATAATGTGTCCTGAAATACATGTACACTGTGGAATGGCTATAACAAGTGAATTCACACATGAATTACCTCACATACTTACCATTTTGTGTGCATGGTGAGATTAATTAAGATCTATTCTCTCAGCAATTTTTAAGAATACAATACATTGTTATTAACTACGGTCACTATGTTGTACAAGTGATTTCCTGAACTTGCTTCCTCCTAGCTGAAATTCTGTATCCTCTGGACCACATCTTCCCAACCCAATGCCCTAGCAAGCCCCT